CTTGTCGAGGTAGCTAATCTACGGCCGCCTCTTTCAAACTACGGATAGCTGAATATGCAAATGCAAACACGTTTGACAGTTCGACAATTCGAGTTATACTGGTCGGGGCGAGTATATACAAGGGTCCATATCTCTGGACAGAATTACCGACATGTCAAGACGAAAATCATGCCCCTGCTCAACACCCAAAGGCTGTTCGTGAAAGTGGGGGCTGTTGTCCTCAATCAAGACGAAACCTGAACAACTTTGATCGCCGAGCTAGCTTCGCTGCTTCTCTCATTGGTGAGTTATCGCATCTTGCAAACCATTGCATTTGTCTACTATTACAACCTGGCAAGCGTCTGATCAACCCGATGCATGCACAACGTGTAAAACAATCTACGGAGACCTCCATACCTACCTTCGTAGGGAGGTATGTATGTACTACCGAACTGCACCCCAGATGACCACTGCTCAGGACCCCGGCTTCTGCTCCACTTTGAATGGACTCACTTTTGATTAAGGTGTTTATTTATTTGCTGTCTGAAAAGCAAGCTTTTTTATTACCACTATCTGACCCATTCACGGTCAACAATCGGAAACAAAAGCCATTCTCTCAGCACGACTGTTTGCTTTGGTCTAGGTCAATGACATTACTGTACGTTATTGTACATACTCCTCAATGTCGTGTCGTTCTACAGAGTACATTCAATCAGTCAGGCATCAACGCCTTTTTTTCTCACCAGATAGAGTCCCCGTGACGAGAAACGTGCCAGTCCCATGAGAGCAAAGATCAGCCTTGTGCCAATGAAGTACTGAGCCGCTGCTCCGTTCTTCCCGACTCTCTTTTGGCCACCATCTGTCTTGCAAATACAGGCCGCCCATCGATTCAAGACCAGAGAGTCAGAGACAGAAACGCAAGCACAAGCACAGGCCATTTCCATGATGATCTCGTCCTCTTTCAATGCTGACTAGAACGCCATATAAAACGCACTACCTCATGGCGTTATCAACGGCATACGGACAAGCATAGAAGTAATACCTCCATGAAAATTGGACTTGTCAAACCCCAACGCTGGGTCAGCGTGTTCCTTCTATGTATGTACAAACTACCTCATTAAACTTTGCCCCATCCGCTACTAAGGTAGTTCAGTAGGTGGTTGAGGCGCGGCCCGTTTCGACCTTGATGAACAAAGCAGCTCAGAGTCTATAAGACGCGTCAAGTACGCTCCGTCATCGGTCTTATCTTGGGTTTTCTTTCTCTTGCTAGGTAGTTAGTTATGCAGCTCTTCTTATGTTCAAGTTGCCATCGATAATGTGGCGTCCTCGGAGGAAGAAACAGTATTCAGGACAAGATCCTTCTTCCTAGCCTGCCTTCGGAAGGAAAGAAAACTCAGGACCTTAACCCTAAACGATGAAAATACTTAGGTAAATCTAGCCTAAACTTAGGGGACTCTTTGCTAAGTTTATTTTGACACTATAATAAGGTCCGTTGTTTTCTTGCCCCCTGAGACCTGCTTATGTACTTACTTGCCGTATTACATACGTCTTGGGCTTTAACCGAGTTAATAAAGCCTAAGGGTTCATGGCGCCGATAGGATGGTTCGTTCCTGCAAATCCCCCGTTTCACGCGCTAAGACGGCGCTGCGTTACCACATGAAACATGTGGCTTCATTGCTGGGTGACGGAGAGTTCAACTAGATCCGTGGGCCAATATACCACCCATGCTCCGTAGACTCCGGTTCCATGTACGGTACGCACATTGTTATACGGAGCATGTATTCGGCTTCTTACCGGTGAGCCCATGCAGGCTACCTAGGTAGGCAAAATTCGCTCCATCAGGAGGAGTATGTATCTTCAAGGCTGTTAGACTTCATTTCAGCGTTCAGCTTTAACATTGACTTGACGCAAATTGACAGGAGCTGTCTCTTACGAAACCTTCAGGTAGACTTGCTATGTAGTCTACTTGCTCAATCAGATCAGAGAATGCTTAGGAAGAATGATTACCACCTCCAGAATATGTTGATAGGTCACAATGGTCCTCAGTTTCACATGGTTTTGCTCGTATGTCAAAACCAAGCCTCGTCGCAGAAAAAGCAAAGTGAGGTTGGCGATCTCTACAGAGCCGTGTTTTATCGCCAGGCCAGGCCAAATCCCACCGGCTTCGCAAAGGTCCCTAGACCCATGAAGATGATGATACTGGTTCGCTAGCCATGACATATCATCAGCTCAACACAAAGCTCTAAGTTACTGCTCTGGCTAGGCCTAGCCCGTCAAGCCGATTTCGAATCAAGAATAGCGATGCCACTGCCGTATGTATTAGCTGCATGGCGAGCTGGTCGCGAACCCAACCCCAAAATATAAATAAAGATGTATATACAATGTACTCTAGTTCTGAAGTCCCTTCGCAGCCAAAGACGGAAGGGGTACTAGGATATATTCCGTGATGCTGTATTACTTGTTTGTCAACCGGTAACATTATATACTACGTATGCAAGATGTGGTTTCTTCCAAGGAAGTTCGTTCATGGAAACTCATTTTCATCTAGTAATCCACATCGATATCTCGGCGAGATAGATCTAGGCAACTTGGCGAAGACAACACAATGTGAAAATTTGGACTTTATTGGACTTTCTGTCTTATGGCGTGATCTAATACGACTAGGAGAAAAAACAAATAGGCATGATCCACGGACCTCGGGGCACGGATGCTTTCAAGCGTTGAACGTCGGAGAAAGGAGCAGGGCGGTTCAATTAATCTGATACTTAGTGTCTCCTGCTTTGTACATGCTCAACATGGATCATGATCCAGTTTAGCATACGTAGACTAATGTGCTTGGATATCACTGTTAACTACTCACGAGTCTATGACCCATCCATAGGAATCTATAGGAAACAACTCACAGACATTCTCGTAGAAATTACATCATTGTCGTATGGTTATCAAACTCTCTAACCATATCTATATGCAACACGCTGTCTATGCTTTGCTGTCTGAGAGCCTTACGCCCTTATTCCTAGAGAAGCACTGCCTCATGTCCTAGACTCGACTCTTGGATATGTTATCTTGTGAAGGCTCAGGATTCCTGAGAATCATCCCCAAATCTTATAAAACTCACTGTCCAACAACTACTTACGACTATCTGGTCAGGACATGGAGCAATGAGTAGACGCACATCCACGAGATATCCTCAATATTACAAGTTCATAAGCAAGCTGACGATATTGTAAATATATTTAATCCCCTCTTTCCTCTGAGCCTTGAATAATTGAGGATAGGGAGAACAAGGAGTTGGTTGTTACCCACTCTGTGAACTAGGAGCTATATCAAAATATACCTATTCATGCTTGCAGGACACTCATATGGGCTTACTGGATACGTTTTTTGGTGCTTCATGGTAAAACTTCGTACAACCACTGTTGCGTTTATAGATGCAGTCTAACCAAGGTAACCTTCTGTCTTGTCTTTCCAGGCTTGCAAGTCGACGAGGCATAGGCTGAAGATCACAGCTATAACAAACACTGCTATAAACAGCTCATCAACTGGTAACGGTTCATGTGAGACTCATTCTACCTGCTGTGTGAATGCCTTTGAGATCCTCGTGGGGTTCTCCCACAACGAGAATATACACAATGATCAAGATTTTGTTGCACTCGCAAGCTAAGCCTAAGCTACTAAGTGTGTTTATACAAATACTCAGATATATACTCATATGCACGGTCTACCGATTCTATGATGTTATAAGTGTTTTCTTTTCGATCTTGTACACCTCATGTGGAGTAAATGTGTCAATCCTTTCACCGGGTACGTTGATGAAACTTTGATAATATGGTTACCATGCTTGAGATATCAGTTGCTGATGCGAGTCCAATACAGCTACATGGAGCGACAATGTGGTGGAACCTGACTTACATCACGCGGCGTCGTCAAACAACGCAGTGCCGCTGTATCATGTTTTGTATCGCTTTGCAGAAGCCAGGCTGGACGTCATTATCTTGACCATATTCTTTGTCCGATATTTGCTTATAGCAAGCTAGGTAACCCGGTATGGATAGTTGGTATATAAGGATACTTGGCAATGGTGGTTTATAGTGGAATAGAGAAGCCGATTGTTTACAATAGTTGTCATAGGGGACACATGTGTGTCAGCCCATATTGAAGTCAGTTCAGAACTGTAGGATAAACATTAGAATTGCTGTAAATCAAGCCTGCGGTGGTCATAAACGATGTTCAACATAATATATTCTACTCAGCGAGTTTACTTCTTTGTGACTGGTTTCTACTGTTGGTATTACCTACGGCTATTGAATGGAACATCTACTGCATACATTGTGCAATGTTTTGCATACAATTCTCCACGAGCCAGCGGAAATCATGGTACTCAGGGTCTTTTACTTCTTTTTTCACTGCGCTATGATATTTTCTGCTCTTATAATAGAATTCTCTGTCTCTCGTAAAGCTGTGTTTGGTATGTTGTCTCATTAGCTAAACTGGTGTGACATAGACTTCGTGAAATCACTCCACGCCACTGGAGCATGACTTTAAGAATGATCACTCAGAGATACAAAAACAACGCACTACTTTAGATCAAGTACCAGAGTTTGAAGAAGGGTTAAACCATAGCCCGGAGGACGACTGAAGAGCGACAATGAGGTGTTTAAATTCAAGGTTGACTTGGCATACCCTAGACAATTGCGAATTTCTGTTGTGCGATCACAAACAATATACTCAATGATCATACCTTACGGCCTCACTTCCGCAGTGTGAGTCAGGGCCGATTACTTGATGTCCATTTTTCCGAATTAAATTGCCTCGGCACACCTCACCATTATACTTGTGCCTGTTGAACGAAGGGCGTAGGCATCATGTGACGTAACGGGCGACTGTAGATGGCGGCGGTAGGTACTAGGTAACCGATGAAAGAGATATGGTAAACACAACACTACTACAATCACACAAACATAAGATCAAAATTACTTCAGAATACGCACAGAAATCACAACCCACAACGAAAGTTCGCAATGTCACCAGGAGCAATCTCGCCGCTTAGCAAAGTCAAAGCCCTCACTTTCGACGTCTTCGGGACCGTCGTCAACTGGCGCTCATCCGTAACCGATGAACTCACGCTTCGAGCTTATCGCAAGACTTCTTCCGACCTAAAACAAGATGTCAAAGCTCGTGTTCAGAATCTCACCGAAGAGGACTGGGGCCGCTTCGCACAGGAGTGGAGGAACTCATACGGGAAGTTCACAAGAGGCTTTGACCCGGAAAAGCACACTTGGAAGACCATTGATCAGCATCACCACGACAGTCTAGTCGAGCTTCTCAAGGCATGGGATCTAGCTGATTTATACAGCGCAGCTGAGATTGAATCCCTGAGTCTCGTCTGGCATCGCTTGACACCTTGGGGTGACTCCTCAGACGGTATTCATGAGCTTGGGAAAACATACAAAACCAGCACCTTGTCCAACGGCAACGTCTCGCTACTCAGAGACCTGAACGATTTTGGAAACCTAGGCTTTCAGGTTCTCCTCTCAGGAGAGAAGTTCGGGGCTTATAAACCAAACCCGGCCGTATACACTGGTGCGACACGTGAGTTGGGACTGGAGCCTCATGAAGTTTCTATGGTTGCAGCACACCTCAACGATCTCGAGGCCGCGAGAGCCTGTGGCCTGAGAACCATCTATGTCGAACGCCCCCAAGAGGAAGCCTGGGATAAGGAAGATGAAAGGTACCAGAACGCCCAGAAATGGGTCGATATCTGGATCACGGAAGACGATCAAGGATTTCTGGCTTTGGCTCAGAGACTTAAGGAGTTTGCATGAGATAGTCGCAAAGTTTCGAGCACCTGTTGTTGCTGTTATTGGTCATTTAAGTGCTGAGTATGCATGAATTCGGACATGCCTATGGTCGAGACTCAATCGGCGGAGCCTTATTCTCAACCCAGAGCCACTTGGATTGTTACATAACATTGTTGTTTCTATCATTAGTAGCATAGAAGCTTTCCTCTAAGCTATTTGGAGTCATATGACCTCACGTGTGTTGATTCCCAATTCGGACTTCATCCACAAGACTTCTCTTTCCAGTAATACCATGAGATATATTTAACCAGCTTACATGAATAAGGTTGATCATTAGTTCTCTACTTACAATCATACGATCCTATTACATCACACAAACGCTGGTCGCCAAAATATGCTAAGGCATGAGCGCAAGTGGATAAAGGCTCGAACGTGAACAACCCCACGATCATGGAGCTGATGTTTTCGGCTCTAGTTAGGTGACCGATTCCGTCTCCGTTTTCTCCGCCGCGTTCACTGTCAGGTCTAACCGAACCCGAGTAAACGAGAACTAAGTGGCCCAGTCGGCATCTGTATCCAGAAAGTGTTGGAGCTGAACTTTTGGGTATTTGAACGAGCAGTTTTTACAGCACCTTCGGTCGAAGCGAGGTGGCAGAGAGGCCCAAAGTGTACAAGTGAGCCTGCCATTGAACTAAACTCGCCCTATTGAAACCTTGTTTTGCGGCTCTTACAGTACGAGTATATAGTCTAGGTACCTAGGTAGTCCAAGGCTGTATGTATAGGTAGAGTTTGTCTCTGGGCGACTCAGCCCTGCTGATTTTCCTACCACCTTCGTTCGCGTTCTAAATCCCGCCCCCCCGCGCAGACGGGTATGATATTGTTCTCTCTGCATATTGAATGAACCTGTAACCCAGATCACACTGTCCTGTGACTGGTTGGGCTTCACGGATCGAACACCCGCAAGTTAGTCGGTCTCATTTGCGATGTGCCAGAGAGTAACAAGAAGAGGGACATCCGGCGGCAAAGCACATGGCAACATGACAGGGCAAAAGATATCTGGTCTTGGGTCTGATATACACTGAGGCTGTCGTTCAGATGCCAATAATGTCCAATTTTCGGCTGACGACAAGGCGCATCCATAGAAAGTCTGGGGAAACGTTGATTTACCCCATAGATGACAACGGCCCGACAACATACGAGTTTCCCTCTCAAGTTAAGACCGTTTGACTAGCCTTGTTAATTTTTCCATGGCGTTTTCGGATCAAAGCAAAGACTGGGGAAATCACCCAAATGTGTGATCGGGAAAATGTGACATTGGGGTGTCAATCGGTCCTACACGATTGGGGTGTGCAAGATCCGGGATGGCTTCAAGGGCCGAGTCCTGTTCGAAACATGAGATCTGACGTATCTGGAAGTAAGTTTCAGTGTTCTTTTCTTTTCTGACCGGCCTGACTCTACTGACTTTGTAATGAGGGCCTTTGAACTGGAATTGGTGAGCTACATACTATGGTACCTGGGTAACAAGACGTTTATAATAGGTACCTACCTAGCTTTCGGCTGGCACGTTTAGGGTGTGGGGTAGATTTGTCTCGGGAGTGTTTGGCACACCTGCATAGTTCCTATCTGGCCAATCCAGTCGTACTGTTGTTCAATCGTCGAGAGAAGTTCAATAGTAGCAAAACCTTTGACCCAAGTGCTGCCCCCATTGTCTGTGCAACTCTGACGAACCTTCGCGAGATATGGAGCACCGTGTCATCGTGGTATGCTCTCGCATTCCCGTTCAGGACAATGCAGTGAGATTGATACTGTAGGGCGAATGCAGATATCACGTCCAAGGGCCGACGGACTCGTTTCGAGCCAACAGAACAAGCATCATGTCTTTAGAGGTCGCTGAGACTCATCAGCCCCTGAATGTCCCAGTTGCCATGCAAGCAGTGGACTTAACTTAGTTGTCCCTTGTGTGAAGACTGGACAGGATCCCTGACTGGCGTGACGAGGTAAGATAAACGCCGGTCCCGCGGCCGTCTAAATTCCCAGAGACCATAATAGAGTGGCGCCGCCGTTTCTCGATCCTCGTGTTAGCATCGGGTGTCTAGACTCGAATAGATCTCACTAGCCATCAAGTCGCGTTTTTGAATGAGTGGCTGGCGATCGTATGTATGCACGGCTGTAGTCCGAAGCTTGTCTTCGTCCGTGTCAAGCATGCGAGCCCAACAAAAAAAAAAAAACGAAAAAAAAAGCAGGGTCTCTATGGAATACCGAGACGGGTGGAATATCAATCCCCATGCATGTAGCATTTGACATGGGCATGCTGCTCTAGAAGGGCAGGCAGTCGTGTTTCGGAAGATTGGAAGATTACGTGGTGGACCGATTAGCTGATGCCAAGAGGATGCAGTCAGTTTTGGGGATTACTTGATTTATAACTAGGGATTTGTTGCTTGTCGGGCGCTTGCTCGGTTTCCATCCCAATAGTGGAAAACATGATGTTGATGCTATCGCCAAAAGCCACGAAAGCAAGTAATGGGTTTTGCCGTGTCTTAAAGCCGCGGACACCGTTAGCGGGAAGTAATAAAAAGCAAAGAAACGACGGTAACGTTCTTGGCGTTGGGGTTTTTTTTTTTTTGGCGCATCCAAGACTCGGTCGGCCAATCTGGTCTAGATTTTAGGATCCTGTAATTTATTTGATATATTGATAAGCCTATATGGCAACTGAAATCGCCAAAGCACTTTCATTGAATTCTTTCAGCACAATAACTTAACTGAAATTCCATCTTGTCCTCTTCCGAAGCTGGTCCATTGGTCTGGTGCCCAACCAGCCCGATTGCTCCAAATCCAACCTCCTCCCTTCCCTCTGTCTCTCCAACGTCGTCGAAACTCTGGTGGAGAATCAAAGCTCGCCGATGAGTGAGATCAGCAAGTGACAGGGGTGGAGATACCCCAGAGCACACGGGACGTAACGCACAACAGCCAGAGGCGTTACTTACTGCGCTGTGCTGTGCCGTGCCTTGTAGGAGCGTGGAATCCCGTCCTCGCACTCCGTACAGTAGCGCCGGGTCCCTTGAAAGAACCCGAAAGGAAAGGACTGGAACAATGCCGGTCACTTACTTGTCACTGGGAGCTCGACAAGCGCGGCTCTGGAAATGCTTGGAGCTTGGTGCTCATTAGGCGATGCTTGTTTATCTGAGGGCATGACTGGGCGATCAGTGCAGGTGAAATAGACCTATTTTGGCTGGCAAAAGCTTGTCTATTTGAAATCGAAGGAAATGCATCGTTGTCGGTATACAGAAATTCCCTTGGTAAAGTGCTATGGAAGGCAACTACTAAGGTTAGTTGTCGAGAACAGCAGGTATTAATTAATTAGGTGGTATCTGTAGGTACTGGTAGGTACTTCAGTAATTTTATCAGTTCTGCATCCAAGAAACGTGAGCTTTGATGGATGCTGAGAGCTGGGAGCGGCTTCCGCACAGGCCACCACCTTTTTTCCAAGGCTGGTCCTCTTTAAAATGCGACTATGCCTCCATGGGACTGGACTTCCCGGGGAGACAAGGACCCTGTCCCTCTGAACACAACCACACCACTTGTCCGTCCTGCGACCGCTTGGCCTGTGTGTGGGCTGGGCTGCAGCAGCATGCAGCATGCAGACGACTACACAACAACAAGGATGCTGATTTGAGAAACCAGAGCAAACGAGAGATGGAAGAAATAAATAAATAAATAATATCAAGCCATTGTGGAAAGAGAAGGCAGCCCGGGAAACTATTTCCAGCTGAGCTTCTCGATTGATCACCAAACGGCATACGACTGAACGCAGCATATGCGATCAATCAAATCCTTCATCATAAATCCCAGATGGAGGTTCCAACTAAATAAGGAAGAAGAAAGATGTATTGCCAAACCATCTACGCCAGACACACACACACACACACTGATCTTGCAAAAGACTTGAGTAGAATTACGACAGTGACAACAAATCTTTTCATTCCCCACTCAAACCACTAAAGGCACAGACAGGCAGGCAACGCGTGTTTCTTGTCCTAGCCACCTAGGCCAAGTTCATGTTGGTTCTTTCAGCTAAGTTCCTGTCACAGCCCAGCAACATCACAGAGCAGCACGGAAGACTCTTCCAATCCACTCTATTCCTACAGTATGAGCAACGGACCAAGGCCAAACCTGGTAAAGCTGCCTAGATCCGGTCGAGTCCTCCGCCCGCCGCGACACAACCGAGCCGTGACCCGGGCTCCCGGGTGCCCGCCGATGAACAACCACCTATTAGTCTGTACTGTTCACTCCAAATAATAGCCACACCAGAAGTCACATCACTGACGAAGGTGGCACTCGATCATGTACCTGGCAGAGGACAGGACAAGTCTTTCATACAACTTAAAACGGCCCGGATTGATGTGTGCCTTAATTGGACAAATCGACAATACCTTAGCTACTCATCTGGGCTTGGGTTCCGAACATCCTTGAGTTTAAGCATGATCAAGAAACCGCATTGTTGCAGAGTCCCAGGCGCTTTCATGCTGCAGCTTTTCAACTATCGAAGGACAGGCACGCAAAAGAATGCATACTTCTGGGTGATGGGTATACATAAACACCACAAGGTGAGGGAAATGGAGACGCTCGACAACGAGTTTTGTGACCAGGGCATGCCCCTCGTCCACCGCTTCACCACTCCGGCTTCATCCCTCGCCTATCAGGAGCCTAGCACAGCACCCTCGCTCTCCCATTTCTCGGGGCACCCACCGAACCGACATCCTACCCATGAATGGCCAGGGCAGCTCCATTCCGTGGGACTTGGGTAGCTCGTGGTATTCGCTAAGCTGCCTGTCTGTAGGGGATTTTCTCGTCAATTGATCCACGACGACGAATCCCCTATTCTGCTTGTCCGTGAAGGGTTATGTAGCAATTGAACTTCGGAGTTATTAGTAGACTGGAGTAATGAGATAGCTTGGGGTGTGCTTCTGCATTCCCCATCCACGCTAGGTAGGTTTATCCGTAAACGTGCACAGTCTAAAAGGGAGTACCTCTGGTCAATGTAAATCCTCCACGCAAGGTACCAGACCGTCTGCACGGTGAAGTGGCTTGTTTGGTTGCTGATCCCCCCTTAGAGAACCTAGAGAACCCCTCCAAGGACCTCTAGCCTCTCCTCTGGGTCCTAGGAAGAGAGTACCGCTGCCGCGTCTCCATCGCATGGATACCTTTCACCCAGGTATTTGGTAAAACCTGGCGCCCCGCCTGGATTGCAACCTGGGAGTCCAGGGCGCCCACCTTCAAGGGCCTGCTAGCACTGAGTGAAAGTACCACTACAGTATGCTCAAATATTTGGGTAAGGTTGGGAGAGGGAGAGAGAAGGAAAAAGCTAAGAGGAAAAAAAAAAGGGTTCTCCACCTTAGCTTGACTGGAGGTGGGCTGGGCTGGGCTGTCTTCTCCCAATCCCAATTCAAAGCCCAATGTGCAAGAGCAAGCCAACTTGCTCCATTTGTCCTTCAGTCCAGTAACTCACCTTCCTTAGCACTCAGAGTCCAAGCAGCTCCACGTCTACGTCTGGACCTAGACCTAGACCAAACATCTACCTCTTGTCCACTCCCAACTCTTTCTTGGACGGATATTGACACTACAAACTCACAAACAGACTGCTATTATTATCAGTCCCTACCAGCCCGGTCCAGTGCTATCCTTTTTTTGCCACTGGCGCTTGTTCGTCGACATCTGTAGCTGCCTTGCCGCGCCCTGCCTCGTGTCTTTGAGCCTTGCATTCATCGCTACGCATTGATTTGCCTTGCACTGCCGTCGACCCCCTCCGCCCTCCCAGCTGCCTCATTTTGACGCACTTGACGCCTTGACGCCCACCGCCGCCGCTACAAGTCAGCACATACCTGCCTGCCTGCCTCCATTACGTTTTCTGGTGCTGCTACTGGTACTGCCACTGCCGCCGCTTTCGCTTGGTCACAGCTCTTTGCTCCATCAAGCCACCCCCTCCTCCGTTTCTCACCTTCGCCTCTGTTTTATTACCCGTGAAGACGACCTCGACCTCACAACCTCCAACCACCTTGGATATATCGACACTGCATCTCGTGAGCCTCAATTACCGACCACCCCCTCTTTTCTCCACCCTCCCCCTCTCCGGTCCGTTGGTCGCTTGGGTCGTGTTTCTCTCCTGCGAGACCTAATCTCTCTCCTCTTTTATCGGCTCTACCTTTTGTCGATTTACTCGACGTCGCCATCATCATGGCTGGCCGAATGGTGCTATACAAGTTGGTGGTTCTGGGAGATGGCGGTGTTGGAAAAACAGCTCTTACCATTCAGCTATGTTTGCAGCACTTTGTTGAGACTGTAAGTTCGACATGGCAGTTTTGTTTCCGCTTTATTGGTGACATTGAGTTAACGCCTCTGTAACAGTACGACCCCACGATTGAGGATTCATACCGAAAGCAGGTTGTCATCGATGGCCAACCTTGCATGCTCGAAGTACTCGATACCGCTGGGCAAGAGGAATATACAGCACTACGAGATCAATGGATTCGTGATGGCGAAGGCTTTGTTCTTGTTTACAGCATCTCGTCACGATCCTCCTTCACTCGGATCAAACGATTCCACCATCAGATCCAACGAGTCAAAGAATCGTGCGCTTCGTCGCCGTCTTATCCCGGTTCTCCTATCTCCGCTGCAAACCCGCAGCTGCCCGTGCCCATTATGCTTGTCGGTAACAAGAGCGACCGAGTCACCGAGAGAGAGGTCTCAACGCAAGAAGGTCATGCTCTCGCCCGTGAGCTCGGCTGCGAGTTTGTAGAAGCTTCGGCCAAAAATTGCATCAACGTCGAAAAGGCGTTTTACGACGTTGTTAGGATCTTACGTCGTCAACGACAACAAGCCTCACGCCCCTCGGAAAGATCGAGCGGTCGGACGCGAACAGGCAACGGAGATGCGAGGGGGGGCGATCGAGACGAAAGACACAGAAATAGGAACAAGGACCGAAGCAAGTCCAAGTGCGTGGTATTATGAGTGGATACGTCCCATTACGGATTGGAAATCTATCAGCTAAGAGGAGGAAAATGAGGCGAACGAGTAGATCGATTCGCTAGCGACAACAGGCCAACGTCAAGAAATACGCATGAGGCGATCCCTCATCTCTCTTGACAGAGGATATGCCCAATGATTTGAAGATGATTGGTGAGATATCGTGGGAAGTACGGAGGGGATAAGATCAGAGACGGGCTTTATTACTTTTCTGCGATTTCTAGATGGCCAATTGCCCAACAAGTAGGGCGACATGACGACGCAGCATCGATTGACGAACCAAAGCAGAAGCAGTTCCGCACCGGCGCACGGCGTACGAACAAAAAGAGGCATATTCTTGGGGCGCTAGGTTATCTGTTGACATTTATACTACTATTTGTTTTCCAAATTTACGACCAAAATTTGAATGGCATTCCTCTGCAACCAGCAACCTATCGCTGGCTCTCACATCCGTGCGGAAACATCTCCACTACCTAATCAAAGGTTTCCATTTACATCTGATTTCGGGTTAATAGTCACTTGTGGAAGATAATATTTTGTTATGGGGTTGGAAATTCCCAACATCAGTCAACCCTACAGAATAGAGCAACGATAAAAGAATGGCCATCAATCCTGATTCACATCTCGGCTCACGTTTCTTTTACTTCCTGCTTGCTTTTGGATGAATTCCCAAGCCATTCCGACGCAGTATCTAACCTCCTGAAATTGTGAATCGTGTACAGTGAGTACCTAGGTGATCTACATTTATTGAAGCAAAGACTACCTACCTACTAGGTAGTAATGGCAGTCGTGTCACCATTACGAAAAGCTGAGATCCGCAGTATCCCAGCTCCTTCTGATAACCCGGTCCGGACTAAGACCCCGTCAGATATGTACAAGATGTTTGTTCTGAGGGAAAAGAAAGGGACCCAACAAAGATGCAACGGCCGATTTCCCCTCCCTTTGTTGGTGTCTTGTGTCATGTTGGCTCACTCACCAAGGGCATGAAAGGTGTTAGCCCCGTTAGCATCGGCGTACCTTGGCATCTATCGGAACCATGTTCCCTGCCAGTGGACTTTAAATGCGAGCCCTGATGCTGAGAGAGCACAGAGCTGGTCGGAGATGCTATCTCATCTATTGCCATTATACCAAAGGCTACTTTCCTGCTGCTGTTCTGGCTTTGCTTCGAAAGCTCTTGCATGCAACACACGCAGCATAGTCTTACGGCGACTTGAATGAAAGACACAAGTCCAGTAAAGTAAAGTAAAGTAAAGATCGATCTGATAGCGAAATTGGTGGGGTTTGCTAGGCAGGTTGTTAGTGCGCAAACGTGGGTGGGTGATATCCATGAATGGGGGTGTCGTTGCAGTTGAAAATGGACGAGTTCGCGCTACGCTACAAGTAGATGTTCAACCACAAAGGTTCCCCATCAGCGATGGAGACGCTGTGGAATACTTCTGTTTACGAGCAGCTACAGTACATACCTAGGTAGCTCATCACTTATTGTCCATGGCCGTAGGATGGATGGTCATTGATTGATCGCATGCCTGCACCACTCCCACGCTTCCCGCAGGTTATGTGATGGTTATCAAATCATTCACCCCACGTAATTGTCATGAACCATGACACTTCTCAACGACGCCAAAGAGTAAAGCGTGATGGAAAAAGAAAGAAGGACATTGTTTATTATATGCAGCTAGTGGTCAACGACTCGGTTACATACTTAGTCACTACTAAACTACCTTACCTGGTGCGCTGTAGAACAGGTCATTTGAAAGATGGACTGCGTGCCGCGTATGTATGTTTATTCCCATTGCGGATGTTATCGTAGTGGCGCTTCACACTTTGTTATGGAAGCATCAATGTGGTAGTCGATAGTACGGACCTATCTATCCAAAGTACCTAGGTAAGCCTGGCACCCATGACATCAACTTGATATCGAATTTAGGGCTGGGACTATTAAAAATGGTCCCTTTGTTGCTAATATGGGCAGCTAGTCATTCACCCACAGGAAATTCGATGGTAGAGCTCTAGGCTTTCACAGTGACAGAACAAGTGCCGAATAAAGTTTCCATACGGTTAAACCTATGCCGATACTACCGGCCTCGTTTTTTTCTCGAAGAATTGCGCAGGGGCTTCGGATTAAGATCCATGACTAGGTAGGACTCATCCTTGGAAGTGAGCCACAGTAGCATCGTGTTTTGGTCTAACCCAGGGAAGCTTATGGCGCTACATTAGGATAGGAGAAGCTATATTGCGTTCTTTTTTGCAAATCACGTAACTACGTACCTATGCACGAGAGTGTGTATGTATGTATGTATGCATAGATGCATGTATATATACTCTAGACACGTCGGATAGACTGCTCTCCGAAACCCTTGGGCATCTGGAAGCCGTCCCGTGTCGGGGTCTAGCAGAGGCGGACCAGGACCGGAATATAGACCGGCGTCATGGCTGGAGGCTACAGCAGACTAGCAGCGGGCGTTTAAGATGACCCTGAACGAAAGGGAGCGAGTGGCAGTCACACCCGGCATATTACGACTGTATGTAGTTGTCTCTATTACATGCTACTTGATTGCTTGTGAAAAGGACTCAGCTGTGACGGGCAGTTCAAGTTAATGGATGGATGCTGGGGACATGCACAGAAGGGGAAGGTCAGCCATCCAAAGGAATCAACCTAAGTGAAGTGGAGGGTCAAGAAACCCATCAAACGTAACGTGTTCGGGGAACAGGGGATGAGAAATCCCGAAGCTAGGGTTTAGAGAAGAGACAAAATAGGACCAAGGAGAAGCCCTGCAGGACACAGAAGAGACGGCGTGGTTCAAGACTCATGTTTCGACACTGGACTTGGGTGAGTAGTAGGGCTTGTACAAATTATCAGTACTAACCTTACCGAACCTACAATAGCATTGACCTTCATGACAAGCTCTTGGAGCCAACTCCACCACTTCACAAGTCATGTCAAGAGACAGTGCCGGATCTAAGGACGCCGATAGTCTCGGCCAACTCTTCTAACCAGCCTCGACCAAAAGATCAACATGTTGGCTTTGAACTAGATATCCAGTGTTACGGATAAACCTGCATTCGCAACACCTACTTCACTCTGACCCTTAGGGTACAATTGTGTTGCGGCAAGGACACGGTGTCAATCGAATTGTCGTTTTATCTTCAGCGAGTTGCGATGCTAAAGATGATCAATCTAGTGGCCAATAGGCAGCGCTGTCTATCGGCCGAGTCATGGTGATAACCTCGCGAGATCGACAGTCTAAGCACGATGATCTTCGTGCGATAGCATTTTGATTGTGAGGGGAAGTGGCTGAGAGGCCGGCTTTCAACAGTGCCTACCTTAGTATGACGAAATCCATACCTGAGATAATGAGGTAGTCCAGTACTGACAAACCCCGAAAGTCCCGAGGTGCTGGGAAAGAAAGGATTTAACAAATGACCTACAATCCCTCTCATCCCAGGTCTGGTTCTACTTGGATTGTAGACTATGAAACTCATTTTACCCAAGCTACCCAGCATAGGACACTATGTGACAATGATAACCAGTCTCCACATGTTCCCATTGTGTCTTGATTCCTATGCAGGCATCGATGCTCCTGTCTCTGCAATCATTTGCAGTATATGGAGACAGGCGACGGGATACACATTTGCATCCTTCATGTCTCCCATGGCAAGGTACTACAGGGCTAATTCCAGGTGCCGCAACGGGTTGAGGGCTTATCAAGGGGGAACCCATCACGGATACACAAACACATATAGAATCATCTCTATTCAATATTCACATAGAGACTTCCGAGGCCTGCAGGCATCCCTGAAGCCGTTGCCACGGCATTCCTTCCAAGACGCCATAGCTGTTAACAAGTCCCTCTCCGCTACCCTGAGTATAACATAAAAAAGGGTGCCATATCCCGTGACAATTCTGTGTTTGTCTTCCAATAAAAGTTGACATGAAGTGAATATAACATAAAGAAAATAAATAAAAGACAAATTCTAGTCCATGTCCCTTGACCAACATTCGGCTAGATTCGTGACAGATTCGTGAGAAAGTTGCACTATATCAGAGTAGAGCAGCGTAGCAGCTACTCTTTTGTCGCGTGCTTATCCCCAAAAGGACTGCTGTCCCGCCGCGTGAGAGTCAGAGGCTTGTCATCCTCGCCTGCTGAATCTTCCATGACGGCACCAAGGCTAGGGGCCTTGTTTGCTTTCTGTGGACTAGATCGCTCTGGGGGGTCCGAGAAAGGGCCTTGGTCCACAGAAGGCGACTCATCGATAACGGTAATGCTCGAATCTCTAGTAACACGGCCACTTGGTGTTGTTGGTGGTGATGGTGCCATGGTTGATGACGATGTGTCTGATTCTGTCTTACTTCCCACGTCGACCTTCTTCAATGTTCCAACTTTGACCACCTGTGCGCGAGCCTGCGTAGCAGTGTTGGCGCTGTTGAGGAACGTTGAGCCGACGCTGAACGCACTTGCACCGCTCTTGGGCCTGCCGCCACCAAACTTCTCGAAGTCAATTGTAGGGACTGGAGGTGCCACCATGTCGCCGCTGTTGTTACCGACGGACTTGACACTGACAACGGTGGGCTTGGCTCTCATTCCGGTCTGGGCAGGTGTAAGAACCTGAGCCTGTTTTCCATAAATCGTAGAAGCCACACTAGATCGAGGTGCGTAAGAGGTACGAGCGTATGATGTTCGGTCCGAGTAGCCTGATAGCCCCGAGTAGGTAGAGTCTCGGAGATCGCCAGGAACAAAGAAATGCTGATCATCGTGTCCTAGACCCCGGTTGGCCTCGGCATGGTGCATAGGGATCGGTGGGACTGGAGGGACAAGAACGTTTGGCGATGTCGGGGTCGCTCGGTTTGTGACGCCGGGGATATATGCGATCTGGATGATGTTTGATGCTCGCGTGAGGACTGTTGATGCGATTGAGTGAACGGTGTGTGTAGAGTGCGGGCGAGTTCCTCTTGAGGCAGCATCCTTCTCATTCTGAATGGCGTCTGTGTCTTCGATGTATATAGACGTGGGGATCTGCGAACGTTTCGGCTTGATACAGAATCTCCATACTATGTAGGTAGCAATAGCAATGACCACGATGCCACCGAGAACACCACCAACGATAGCACCAACATTTGGGCCACCGCCGCCGCTGTTGCTGGAGTTGTCCGAGTCCTTTTCGCAGAAGGATGTAGCACACATGGTACAGTCGAGGGGAACGGTGAATTGGCAGACTTCGTTATCTGCGCACTTTGGACATTCAAGTTGTGTATCATCGTCACATTTCACACAGTCCTTGCTTCGAGGGACAAGCTGGAATGCTAGGGACGACTGTTAGAGGCTGTGAAACTGAACATGTCGGCAACTCTCTGATTGACTTACCATGGTTTAACTCATCCAGGTTCCTGGCAACGAGGTATCCTGACCTCTCCATCATGGCGACGTCTGGGTATGGAAGACTTATGGAGCGAATGCGATGATATATGATGCTTGGCTGCTAAGATATGTCGATCGCTTCGGATGATCAGTCAAGCACAAGTTGAGGTGAGTTATCAACAATGCTTGGCAATACGCTGACTCGAATAGTGATCTGCGACAGGGCTTGGAGAGATGGAATGATTATGTGGTTTTTTTTTTGGTGGTGATTTCCGGCATATGAGAACGAGCAGAACAAGTCGATGTATATCCAAAAATCGAGTCCGTGATAGTCGAAGTGAGATGAGTGAGAAACGAGTGTGGGTTCAGAGGCTAGCTCAGATGAAAAGGAAGGCTGGTTAGGAGGCGCAAGGAGACATAATCGACCGGGCGATTGATTCGAATAATAAAATACGAGAAAGAAAAGCCGGGCTTCTTCTCTCTCGGGATTCGATTCGGTTCAAATCGATGCGTGAAGGTGTTGGCCGTCGATGAGAAATTGATGCGATCGTCTGGGGTTGCAAAGAACGATGAAGGAGCGAAATCAACTGCACAAGCGGGAAGCGGCGGGAGGTGGGAGGAGGTCAAGTCAAAGTAGAGGCACACACGCACTTGCTTTGTTGGTGGGTGCGAGACATCGATTGGAGCACGAGGAGATGGTGTAGCAGGGATGCTGATGCTTGACTCTGCCTCTTTCAGCGATGGCGAAACAGGTAAATTACTCGCACTGTATATCAGCCCCTGATATTGTGGCTCCGTGAGTGAAGACTGGCTTATGGAAAAGCTTGTAGTATCCCTGCATGATATCCACTAAGCAGTGCTAGAAGCCCCTGAGGATCCTGGCCAGACACTGTCTCAACCAGTCGATGTGGGCCTAGATCCAATGCCGCTCGTTGAGCTATTAATTCAGGTGCCGCAAACCATCAACTGGACGCCGGCTTCAGGTGAACACGAACGAACAAAAAGGCATCATGCAGAACCACCCAGTGCACAATGCACTACTCATAAGGTTCTTGATTCTACGTTGAAGAGAAGAGGCAACTTTGTGTTCAAGACTATAACTGGCGCAACGGCCTTATCAAGACAGGCCGTTATACGTTAAATGTTATACCCTACCGAACTCCGTAGAGTTACAACCTGTTTCCCCGAATCCATGCTCTAGGAGTGTAGTTCTGGCCAATCATTATGGAGAGAGAGTCTCACCGGTGGCACGAGTTTGCATACCAGACTTGGGCGAATTCTGCAGAAAATGCATTGTCTGCACCAGACGCGCGTTCCTAAATCCGAAACAACAAACTCCCGATGCAAGAGAAAAAGCTTGCCTCGCCATCACCCCTCGATCATTAAGAAGCAGCGCTCACAAATGCATTTACGCCGAATCCAATGTGCCCGACTTTTAGCTTCGGCTTTATAATCAACAAATGTTATCAGCAGGGTCTTACCCGTTATTCTTTGGCTGTTAATGTCTGGGGCTTCATATTGGCGACCTATATCAAATATCACAATTGGCGAATCATAATTCAACATTGCAATCTGACCGTAGACTTTTGCTTCTCTTGGCAACATTCGTGTATACTTCCACCCTGTTCATCGGGTCTTTGACGAGGCGAATATATATTATGTTAGCTCGACCGTTGTGCCATGATCAAGAACTTTGACCCACTGCGGGAGCATCATGTTTCTCAATTTCGCTATCTGCAGGTGATCTGTGCCGATATCTTACATACTATGATATCAAAACTGTGTGGTACCAGACATGAATTTCATCTTCAGATACTAGAGAATGTCAAATTTACGCCTTGGGCGAAAATCTTGAGATTAATCGGTTTCGTACGCCCCATCTCAACTTCTCAATAGTCCAGCGACTCTGCAATATTTTTTGGAATCCGAATATGTAAATTACTTGTTGCGCATTCAACGTAGTCCTGTGTTGTCTGATTGAATATGTCGAGCTGTTTACCCTGTGGCAGTGTGCAATGATAGACCCGTGTTGGGTATTTACAAAGGTTTCGAGTAAAATCTAAGTACTATCTATTCGTTGCAATAATACAGGGCAAGTGATAGATACCCGTTCACTGTATTTACCTTATTAATTAATCATTGACTGCTCAGTCGCTATGCCTTGGCAACATTTATTAGGACGTTGAATAGATGCCGTACAGTAATGATTCGTGTTGCTCCGGCGCTGCACAGTACTAGAGAACTCAGACATTTGGTAGCCCCTTGCCTTACTTTTCTGCAGTGCAGCAGTCATTGGGATCTTAGCATTCAGGCCACGAGCTTCATTATGTTTCTCTCATCACTGGACCAGAACCAGCCGATGTCTCGGAAAAGCAACCGAGGATGGGGACCACAGGTTGCTCGATATTGACGGTACCGGGGATTGTGTTAGGCTAATTGATTGCAGTTGCTAGCCAGAGCATTGATATGTAGTGGTCTACCGGAAGACCTATAGCGACAGTCCTACGTTAGATGCATGAGCTCACATGTGAGATAAAGAGATCCGGTAATGGATGTCCAACGAATCTCCGGCACAACAAATGCGAACAGCTCGAGTAAGCTCGATAGCTGCGTGCCTCAACTGTAGGGCTGGGGAGCCCGAGGTTCCCATCAACTGCCAGCTGACGTGAGGACGAAGGATTCCGCGCCATTGCATTAGACGTTGACTCAACTGGAAACAACTCAGCTTTGAAGCCCGCTACTTGGTGGCCTTGTCTGCAAATTCAATACAACAAGATGCAGTCAGAATGGCGGGCCACAAATCTCACCACCCTTCACTCGTCCGATATTGGATAGAATTCAGAACAGAGAGGCAACGTACTAAGTTAACGGATAAGACCGTAAAATACCATGTACGTACCATGCTTGCACCCCAGCATCATCAATGTCTCTAACCAGCCAGGCTGAGCAAGCCCAGCCAGGTGTCGGCTCGCTCCAGCTAATTTCAAGTTGCTAAGACAGGATCGGCTATTTTTAGAACATACGCTTTGTTGTGGCAGATTCTTTGTCGTGTTTCGGACAAAAGACTAACCCAGTCGAGCGTTTTAGCCAAGTAACCTCAAGACAAGGGAGGAACCGCCTGAATGTCACCATTTGGGATCCTGCTAGAGATAGGGGATAAGGTAGAGATGGGAAGTAACACAAACATATGCTTCGTTTTGAGTAATGGTGCCCGTTTTGTTTGTTCTTCGTTGGCGGTCAGCAACCAGCACCGAAGCAGCAATCCGGGACATGGTTAAATCTGACTGCTGACGGGTTCTGGCGAACTAGCTGCCATGGCCCAAAAGTCGTGCAGGTGAGCAGGCTTGCAGTAGGCTCAGCGGCTGATGTCAAAGGGAAAGGATCGTAAGCCAACAGGGCTGGGTGCGGGTACTCCCAAACGGAAGGCGATGGCTGGCTGGCGTACAAGTTCCTGAGGCAGCCAGACTGCAAAGCCCGTGCCTAGGTTTGGAGGGAAATTAGGGACCATTGCCCGTACCGGACAACGATGCGAAGGGCATGTGGCGGGAGAAAGGGGATGACGATCTTCCGGTAAGCTGGCGGTTGAAGGAAAAGGGGAATCAAATGGTATTTATGTAACTTTGTGTTGGCCCCCCGCAGAAGCTGCTAAACTACTAAACTACACGCTGAAACAGCAGAGTATGCAGAGTACTGTGCAACACAGCCAGTAACTCTGTATTGAGCAAACGGTAGGCGCCAGGCCCGAGCAGCAATGCAGATGCAGACCCGACAATTCTCAGCTTAGGCATCGGGCATCTCCTGTCAGTGGCATGCCCCGTTGTCTTTGGATGGACAACAATGCAAAGTGCCAGGGTCCCGTAGTTATCTCCATAATCTGTGGCACTCTAGTTCCTCATTTCAAGGAACTTGGTTCCCGTGAACTGTAAGACGGGTTGGGAAAAATGAGGTCGATTGAACGGTGAGCAGGCGAATGCAGATATTGCGGTGGCTGAAGTCTTCGCTATGAGAGTTGAACGAAGAACCAGCCGTCTTCTCCGCCCTAAAATGCTGGCTGGCTTTGGGTTCAATGCTGACGAGACCTAGCGGAAGTGTACAGCACGTACGTACGTTGGTAGCCAGTCACACGTCTATTCGTACAGTGTAGGTTGTAGATCTCTCCATAGTTTACAGCCGCAAGCCTCTTTGAGTCCGTTCTGCCCGTGAGAGATGCTTCAACGTGCAGGTAGCCAGTAAAGCTTGACGGCATGCCCGTCTCAACGCTCAGCCAGGTCAAAGGATACCTGCGCGTTAGTCGTCAACGACTGTGAATCGCCATCAGGGAACTCACCAGCCCAAAATACACTGCAGTCAGATTCTCGTTTCTTAGAGGGCGGGTATCTGATTCTTGACAGGGATGGGAGCTGGAGATGGGATGGATCCTCGCCCCCCAAGTATGTACCAACTTATGGCGGAGTGGAGTGGCTCAGCAGGCTTAGCGCGAGATGAGTCCCCTATTCTTACCTCTCTTTCTCAAGCTGTGAGCCCAGTCGTGGAGCAAAACGAGATTCGTTCCCAGGGCCTCTCATCAAAACATTTTCTCAGAGGAGAGGAGAAAAATAAACCCTGCCACTAGCCTTCTTCTTTGCCTTCATTATCCCTCTTCCCTCCTATCCTCAACTTCATCCTCCTTATCCTTTCCCCCCCGCCCCAACTATCACCATTCTTTTGAGGCTGGCGCCTCAAGTTTCCTACTGTATCTGTCGACTGTTGCTGGGGCCAAGGTACTAGAGCTACTAAACTGCCACTGCTATTCAATAGGTGGCTGCCCGTGACCACCATTCGCATTTCCTTCCTCCTGTTTCAGCTCCTATCTCGACTAGAGAAAAAATCACAACACCATCTTCACTTCGCACCGCTATCGCTATCGCGCATTATTTTATCCCAAGCTCATCGACTAGAATCCCAACAGTGCTGAGCGCCTACGGGAGCATAACTATTCACCATGGCGTACAATGGCCGTGATCAGGAGTATGGAGGACACGCTTTGCAGGACCTTCCTGCTGGCGGAAGCGTGAGTGCACA